GCCCACCACTTATCGAAAACCTCAAAGCCGCCATAGCTAGAGCCCATGGATAGTTGGCGCAGCAGTTCTAGTGCCCGACGAATGATGACTTCCAGTTTATCAACTGTCATGTATGCATCCACTTTGGTTGGTGGCAAAGAATCGTCAACGTTTGACTTCATTTGATGCTTGACTGCTATTCGGATAAATCCTTGAATGAAGAAAGTTTCTGAATATGTGTACGATCTATTAGTAAGGTCAAATGCAACTTTGTATTTTGTAGTGTGCCATTAATGAGCTTTGCTAACTTCTATGCAATTAGAATAACTCAGTATATAAACTCAGTGGAAGTACACCAGAGTTGAAGATGACGTCGAAGATTGCACTAAAGATCTCGTGTTCTATCCTGTTTTTTGTTGTTTTCCGGTGAATAATGAGCCATCACTATGGAGACCGCGGATTCGCTACTGCAAACCGCTAACATCGATTCAAACCCGTAGGTGATCCACACCCGCTTGAAAGAAGACATTGTCGCGTGGCAATCAAAGCCGTCGGCCTCAGCAACAAGATGAGTAAGCAGCCCTGGGTCACGATATTAACCTTGAATATTCGCCAGAAAAGAAACGCTGCGAAGCAGGTGTAATTACATGACCCTGTCGCAAAAAAGAAAAGAGAGTATCGTCTCCTCTTGAAACAGAGACGACTCGATCACGACGCGCAAAATTTGGAAAACGCGGCAGCAAAAGGGGACTGGAAAATGCTCTACGGCCAGACTAATACCAGAGTCATAAGTTGTACACAAAGCTTTTCACCGGGATGCTAAACAGCAAGGCAAACGAGCCGCTGCATGAAGCTGAAGACCGTCGTTAACAATGGGCTGAGCACTTCGCCGATCCTAATCCAACCTGTAGAGTTCGAAATCGATGATGACAGTTGGCAACATCCGGACGTTGACTGCTTCCCAATATCAAACGAAGAAATCCGAAGAGAAATGCCACTCTGCTGAAACTCGAAGGCTTGCGCGCACGAAGGAATTGGTGAGGAGTTCCTTAAGTGTGTTGGCGTAAACTGTCTCAAATGGATCTACCTGGTTTCCCGCTGCATTTGCTAGAAGTCGGTGATTCCCGACAACCGGAATAAAGAAAGGCGTGATATTCCTGATTTTCGAATCTGATGGTCGCGCGAAATGCACTATCGCGGGATAACTCTATTGCCTGTGTTAGAGGACGGATTCGCGTGGAATATCCCTAAACGACTGAAGAAGGCCATCGATCTTTCTTTGCGAAAAAATCAAGCAGAATTTCGGATTTTCCCACTAAAAGAGTACTCGAGCAGCGCAGGAGCTTTAAAGTGCCTTGGCATGTGATGTGCTTAGACTTTCGGGCAGCTTTTTACCATTCGATGCACCGCCACATTATGTGGAGTGTCGTTCGACACTACGAAATCCTAGAGACGGTGATAAATGCGATACAAGGTTCGTACCATGAAGCGAAATGCGCGATCTGAACCAGTGGATAATTTTCGGAATGGTTCTATACTACCAGCTGAGTTCGACAAGGTGAGATGCACTCTCCTTTGTTATACAATATCATGGCGGTCTACCTAATGCGTAAGAGCGTCGTCGAAAACGTCGATGAGAGACTGACAGTTAATCAGCAATGCAGCTCGAGGTACGCGACAGAATTTTTTGACGGATCTTGAGTATGCGGATGACCCGTTGCTGAGCCATTCTGCAGGCGACCTAAGGCAACTATCTGAAAACATGTGCAGCACAGCTGTGGCAGTGAGGCTGAAACTGAATATCAGAAAAGCGAAAATATTGAGACCATGAATTATTTCGAACGGTATTGCGACAGAAGGCCATTTCAAAGACAGTGGAACTGTGCTGGGTAACGATGGAGGCATGGATCATAAACCGGTGCATTACACTCGTAGCCACAAATTTCGTCAGACTGTATGAAATACGGAAAAATCGGACTATAAGAACTGATACGAATATCACCATTCTGAAAGCAGCTGCATTCGCGGTGCTAATATATATACTGGAAATATCAGCAGTTCTCAAATGTCATGAAGATCGTCTAGATAACTTCCAGCAGCGATGCTTACGAAACGCCCGTCAGGTGGATGGTTCTATCAGGTTACGAACGAGCAGCTGCTGAAGAACGGCAGTTTGAAAAAAACTATCTTAGTAACTGCGATCGGTACCTTGCTTGATTCGATAAAACTACCAAAGAGAAGGAAAAAATTTATAAAACCTTGCCCACATGCGAAACATCCGCTAACCGCATACACGTTGGAGGACATTATATATGCTGGATGCAGCTCCTTGAGGTAGGTCTGATTGCGACGAGGGATATGACAACCGCTGCAGCAATGAACCTTGCCTAATGTCAATCTGTATTGCCAATTCTGACGGTCAGACGTCACAAATCTAGGCTACTTTGCTAAGCTGTTAGCCGCAGACGACAATGACAAAACAACACTGCGACGAACAGACAATGAGACACCGAACTTTCGTCTGATAACCGGTGGACAAGAAATTAAATATACTGCAGCGAATCCCATCAAGCGCTTAATATCACGTTTCAGGATGAATTCCTGGTATGCAGCAACAAATTACTGGTTGAATAATGCCATGTTTCGCGGAAAGAGATCAGTGGCGACAGATTGTCTTTTATGTACACTTAAGTTCGACAGCACCTGACGAATAATTCATGGCACAGGACGGAAAAATTAGATATAAATTGTACTTATGTATGAAACGGGTACACAATCAATTTCACCAACAAATGGCAGAAATGGTCTAAAATGAACTCATGCAATAGCTCATCAGCAAAAGTATTGGCAAAACAGCCAGTTTTAAACTTAAAAATAACTTCAAGGTCACTGATAGCCGTATAGAGTAGTTTGACAAACGAAATTGACTGACACCGAAAATAAGTTTTCTGATAAACTAGAGCAGACAGCTTACCCGTTCATTACGGCCATGGGCATATGCATATTTCTTGAAAAGAATTCACAAATAAGATCAACGCAGCAGGGCAAAAGTCACCACTGCAACAGGTCTTATCTTAGCTCACCGAGAGCTACTAGGCATATTTATATAGACCAAATAAAATCGAGGCATCCCAAATAAAGCAATTTCTAGCCACACAACAAGCCTTAAAATTATCATCTTCCATGACCGCTCTCCTTCCGGGTCGCGGAGGCAGACGGGTCAGACAGTGTCTCCAACTTTCCTGATCTTCGGTGAAAGGCAACTGGAGTATGGAGCAGACTCCTTCCATATATATGCATTAGGTAAATCATGGCCACCCCCTGGGTCTTCTGCCGGTCGGTTGGGCAAGAAATAGTCGCTTCGCCTTCCTTTCTGGATGCATTTATAACACTAAACGTGTCGATTTGGCGCCGATCGAGAGTCATTATCAACGTGCAACGCGTCTGATGCTATTTGATCGCACTGTGGTCGTCTCGATCAAGTATATAATCTAACCCTGCAAGTTCTAAATCTATGAAGAGCTCTTCGTAAATGCAATAAAAAACCTTGTCAAACTAATGAACTTCTACGATTTTGAATTTTATTTCATCATCCATTTTTCTACATGCGACAACTGTATAACATCCAGTATCCAGTAAAGTTCAAGAAATATCGAGATGCGTAAGAAAAGATAATTTTCATTGTTAATGACTATCATAATAGTGATATCATCACTCATCTTCATGGCTCAGCGAATAACTGCGAAATAGCACAATGTTGCATATTGCGTATAAAATTTGCTATATGTAGTTACTTTGTACAACAGCTCCTTCTTCCTCCATTAAAGTTGACTTTAAACTATGTTCCAATTATTTAAATCAATTTAAATGTTGTCAAATAACTGAGCAATTTGACAACTGTGACAAACTGATATTGACAAACTGGTATTGTACTTACCGAAATATTAATACATAACAACGAACATTTGCTGGTGGACGAAATCATAGAATCTCATAAAATTCATTAGTTTCACAGAAGTTTCAAGTGTTCACGGAGAAATTTGCATACATACATAACTTGCTAGATTATATATTGCAATTAACTCGATGACTACAGTCCAATCACAGAATCAAATGCGTTTAAAGTTGATAACGACTATCGATCAGCGCCGAAATATCTCTCGCCGAATTGTCATCTTGCTTGCAATCAAGATTTAAGATTACATTCGCTACTTTATATTAACGTATTTGTACCAACTTGTCAAATTTTTACAGCTTGCCCAATCTACCTAAAGATAAAAAATCTAAAAACTAGATAAAAAATAAAAGCGGTGCCAATTAATTTCCCAAAGCTGTTACCAGATGAAACATAAGCGGACTTTTGTTGTCTTCAATGATTTTTTTAAATTATTTCGTCAAAAGGAATTTTCTTTTAGTAACTGTGAACACCAGTACAACAGAATCTCGTTTCACTACTACATTCAAGATGATATCAAACAGACGTCAAGCGTAAACTTCTTAAACGACTGTGAAACAGTGTTTAGCGCTAAACAGATAGTTTAATGTTTATCAGAACTCGAGCATAACTTTAACAAAAACCGATCGGAAATTCTGTCAGGCTGCTGAGTGAGGTTAGGTTTCTGACCACAAAACTACGGCATCTGATTTAAAACACTGGATGAGATAAGTATTATTTTACAAAAATGATATTCAGCAGGATCATTTCTAATGAATGAGCAGCCAGTCATGTCATTCCATCCATTATGACTTGAAAATATAATTTCAAACAACCATTCAAAAATTTTCGAAAAACGTGGTTTACAACAAAGCTGCGATGATGTGGAAGCAAAATTCGACTTCGACCTATTACGACTGATAAATCTATTCGAATTCCACTAAGATACCACCTTCTTCAACAGCTGCACCGGCTTTGCAATTTACAGCTTTCACCTAAATAAGTTCGATAAAGGTAAATATTACACTTATGGATTATGCAACAATGAATTAACTACTTAATCACTGTAAAGTTGAGTTTTAAATAGTTTTAAAATTTTACCTTAGCGGATTTTGGCGCAGTAAGGCTGTTCTGCATCTTCATTGCCTCAATAACACAACATTCTTGTCCTTCGCTGACGTGTTGACCGGGTTTCACAGCAACGGACTTGATCATGCCAGGCATTGGGGCGATAATATATTTCGAAGTATCGACCTAAATTAAGATAAGTCGGGCGAAATTTAGATAACATTCTATAGAAATAACCTTCTTCGTTTCAAGAACACTGACGGGTGGGTTGTTACATTTCTAATTTCTCTATTTTTCAGAATATAAGAAATGGAAAAACTTTCAAAAGTTAATGTCAGTCTTAGACGTTTATGCGATGCGGGGGCAAATTAAGGAAATCCTATTTCACTGATCTTTTCATACAACATTGTTCTACGCCGAGCTTCCTAACCAATCGCGTCGTAATTACTAAATAAATGAAATGTCGCTGCTCGCAACGCGAATGGCTTACGGCTTCTAACCTCTAACTACATCCACTCAATAACAAATTACGTGACAGAAAAGGCAGAAGAAAACGATCAGCTAGTTGATATAATACTCCGCCAACATGTACCGAAAGTCAAAATGTAGTTAACATTAGTTTAACATTAACTTTTAAAGGAACTTTGAAAACGATTTTCTAATGCAAAACTATTTCCAACTACGCCGTTGCCCGTCCCAAGTCCCGATGAGAAAGGAGGAGGGTTGGAGACAATGGCAAGTTCCGTAAAATTTAGCCACCTGCCACTCATGGTATTGACGCCATCGAAAATCCTACCGGCTCGGTCATCGCCTGGCTTACCAAGGGCCGCGCAGGCTGTTGTGGAAACGAGGCAGAATGCGAAAAGACGCGGATCAGAACATGCTCATTGCCCTCTGCCTGCCGAATCCG